CATTTCATGAGTTCAAAATATAAAATAATCCCTCTCGATTATATTTTTGTTTATCATTTACCAATTTTAACTATTTACTTATAACAATTGAACCAGTGATTGACTTCCCAAACATCATTTCATAGTTTGAATAATTCATTTATAATAATTAAATTATTTAACTTACAATAACGGAAAAGACAATTACATGATATATATATCTCTTGCTCTCTGAAACAATAAACGAGCAAAAATTTCTATATGTTGCGCGATTATTTTAAAGAGACAACCGCTTAATATAATTTTTGACTACGTAACTTTTGTCTACATAAATTTCTATTTAATATACAACGATGCAGTTATAATTTAAAAATTAATATCACGAAAATGTAAACTCAACTTTTAGCCGATAAAAAATTAATAAAACATTACGTTTAAAGTTGTTAAATAACATATTCATGAAAGTGTAACTTCGCGGCAGAAACGTAACAACTATTAAAGTACTGATTAGTATAGTAATAAAAAAACTGTTTTTAGAAATACTAAAAAAAATTATCAATTGTTCCGGATCACCGACAACCGAAACATTAGATTAACCTTGAGCGGTAGAGAGGCTCATTATTAATTCAATTTTCGATGTGTACACAAAGATTAAATTTTAGAAGTTTGAAAAAAAGTTATCAACTGCTCCGGATCACTGATGACGGAAATATTAGATTAACCTTGAGTGGTACGGAGACTCATTATCAATTGAACATCCGTCGTGTGCACATCAACTCAGCGGAGCACCAGGGACATCGTGGGATGCGTACGATTAGCTTTAAGTTGCGTGCGTTTAGTTTTAGTTAATCTCTGTAAATTCATTGTGAACGCATTCTGTACAAAGACACGTTTACTGAACTTGTGACGAAATTGAGAATCCCTCATCTCTTCTCTTCTTTCGTTCGTTTTTACTATTGTTACTTTGTTCATTGGCACTAGACTCGGGTCTCCAAGTTTTGTAGCCAGTGTGCCGAATCGGGCAACTACAGCCACGTCCGAAAGGACGAGGAGAGATGCTTGCAGTCAGGCGTCCTGGCAGTAAACCGACAGCGGTTCTGCGGAACTCCACTGTGTCGTTGAGGGTAGCGTCAGACTACTTGCCTTTAAATGCTCGAACCTCGATTTGGCATTTATGCCGAAACGAGGAACTGCAGTCTCGTCCGAAAGGGCGAGATGAGATTCTCGTAGTCCAACGTCCTTGACAATCCGATTCAAGGGTTCCGGAACTTTCACTATGTCGTTGGGGGTAGCGTTCTACTACTT